CTTAGAAAACATTTTAAATTGCATTTGAAAAAACAAACTGAAGCATGCTTAAAATATAGGACCAAAATATGTATGTGTATGTAGCCTATGTATCGGGGCGCGGGAAGACGCCACTTAATCTGACGATTAATGTAGGGTGACCATACGTGCCATTTTCCCAGGACGCGTCCTGGCCAGGATTTGTTTTGGCTTTGTTTTCATGCTTGCTGAAGGTAATGATCGAAAAGTAGTTTGACCAATAACATGCAAGCATTGTACATAATGGACCAATCATGGCGTGTGAGAAGGGGGGATCTACGGTCAAAGCGATGCAATTACGCGTACATATTAGGTGTGTTCGACTTAAATGCAGTGCGGCTCAGACCGATCAGTGTTTGACATCAAAGTACCTTGAGAGCGTTTCGAAAGCATAACCGTCTGTATGGTACTTTGATGTCATGCACCGATCGGTCTGCACACGCAAACAAAGCCAAAACCTAGATATTTTAGGCAATATAGAAATCCTGGCCAGGACGCGTCCTCGGAAAATGGCACGTATGGCCACCCTCGATTAATGGGCGTCTTTTGTAATGTTGACTAGCTGCACATAGTGTAAATAGACACTCCGATTTTTTTTATTCCCAACAGTTAAACAGTTGCCCACACAAAAAATAGCAAAACCCCCACTTCCCGCGCCTATGTATGTATGTATGTATTACTGTGCGTTCACACCGGTTCACACCGCCGCCGGCGAGAGCGTCAAAAATCGCTCTGGCCGCCGTGCCAACAACGCTGTAGAGTAGAAAGATTCGTGGACGCTCAGACGCTCAGACGTAGATCGAATGCTTATCTTGTACTTAAAAGGGTCGCAAAGCAAACAAGCTTGTTGATCTTGTGCAGACTGACCACAAGGAGGGTAACGTTATAAGTTAACCTCATTAAATATTGTATAAAGCACTAATACCACACTATAAAAATACGCTGATATAATATATATCTATAATATCATATCTGATATAATATATCTAAAAGTCCTTGACTTGATTGTACTTAAGCAAGTATAATCAGGTATAAACATTACTTAATGTAAGTATAATCAGGAAAATTGATTTAAAGGTTTAAAAGTGAACTGGGACTATTATACTATTATGATTATTTTATTAGATTATTATTACTATAACGTTAATGCACATCAGCAACTCACCAGAAACACCAACAATCTCAGACACCTTGGTCCACGCATCTTTTTAAATTTATGTCCCTATACACAAACAGGGACACGTTGTAGATTATTGAGAAACCTGCCACAGCAATAATCAACCTCTCCTCCATTTTGCTTGGGAACTAATGTGGTCCAACCAAAGTTTACAGGGCTGCGATCTATCTATCATATATAAATAATATATATACATACAATATATATATATATATATATACTGTATATATATATATATATATTGACCTTTATGTTAACTATGCTTAACTCAACTATGCTATTTTTTTTCTAATGCAGTCCAACAACTTTCCCGATTTCAAGCACCACCTGTGTATCTAGATTTGTGGCCAGGTGGTATGTCCTCAGGAGAAGGAAAAGGAAAAGACTTAAAGATTTTCTGGTGTTCTTGTTTTGTTCAAAGACAAACGAGGCTGATAATTTCCCTCCCACAATGCTGTTGAACAGATCAGCAGCTATGAGAAAGAGCAGGAATCTGAGGTCCAAGAGTGCAGCCCAGAGCCTTTGACTCGCTCCGCAGTGTTTGTGGGCAGCATCTGGATTCACTTAGGTGGAGAGGTACCCTTCATCCTCTCAGGTTGCAGGTCTGAGTGTGGGCTCTTGTTTTTCGAAATGGCTAAAGCCTGCTTGCCTGGACCTTCTCAAACTGCCCCGGCGCATCCGCCTGTCCCTCCAGAAGGGCAATTTCAGCCCATCCCCTATGCCCCAAAGCATGTTTAGTGTAGTCACTCATTTGAACTGAAAGATGTTAAACAGATTCATTCAGGAGCCGGATTTCATGGGTCTTTTGCAAAGCGGAGTGAGTAGGTTCAGGTGACTGTAGCATACAGATGTGTTGTGTACAAGTGTAAATGCTGGGGAAGTAGGCAAATAAATAGTGAACAGCTTGTTGATCTCCTCATCATCACTTTACTCTATAAAAATAAACAGATCAGTCAGGCTTTTCCTAGGTCAGGTTTTAAGTCTAGCTGGGAACAACAGTTACTTACTGCTCATTTGTCTATATTCTATCACTGCACTACTGTCGGTGCTTTTTATAGTATTGGACTTTGAATTGAACCAGACATACAAAGTTAGCTGGTGGGATGTTGTTCAAACAGATTTATTTTTGTGTCTGTCAAGGCCCATAATGCTCATTCTGTTTTTGTCAGGGGAATTATATATATTTTATCTGATTCCCTACTAATTCAGTTTGACATCTTTCCAAGACAAAGATAAAACAGACATTAGAGATAGAGAGTGAAAAACAGTATAAAATAATGCAGTAACCATATAAGGTCTGAATGCTGACAAAGATTTTAAAAGGGTAAAAGCAATGGCATACAGTGAATTTGTATGTGAACACTTAAAAGTCTTGTTAGTGGTGCTTAAAACAGTAGCTGTTAACATTAAATGTTAACACTATATTTACATACATGTAACTACCTGGATTTGTAGTAAATTTGCAGCAAAGGAACTGTTGTAAAATGTAACTTTGGGTAGAAATGTATAGAAAGGACACAAGATTTTATTAGTGAATTTTATATAACTGAGCAGATACAGAACTTAAAGGAGGCAGACAAGCTCAAGGAGAAGTTAAATCATGTCAGTCATCTTCATCAGCACTTGAAAGACTATAATGATCCTGTCAACATCTCAAATAGACACAACTTGTAAACCACATCTCCATGCCTCTGTTACTTAAAACAGAAGGTATTTAACCTTAGAGACCTCTGGAGTCCCAAGTCACTGACCATTATTAGAGACACTCCAGTGGTAAAGAGCAACAAATTGGTTCAATCATTTGTTTATAAGTAGTTCTATTTTTAAGCCTCTCAGTTTAGACAACTGAAATAGGGGGATTTTGCTCCAAGATGTCTGTCTACCCTTTCAGCCTTTTTCTTCAAAGATGTGTTTGTCCCAGGAGAGGCAGAAGGCGACCCTGGCCAAGATGTGTCAAAGGTCTTCTGGTTCGGCAAAATAATCCAACCACTGGGGAGTCCAAGCACAGAGAACTTTTCATCATTATTTGGTATAGGACATTATTTTGGTATAGGCATATCTGTTATATATATATACACTGAACAAAAAAAATTATAAACTTTTGTTTTTGCCCCCATCGATGTGTTGCATTGCGTGAGGCAAATGGTGGTCACACCAGATACTGACGGGTTTTCGGACCCCCTGGACCCCCCAATACAGTAAAACTGCACATTTTAGAGTGGCCTTTTATTGTGGCCAGCCTAAGGCACACCTGTATATATAGCTGGAGAGAGAGAGAGATACATTTGTAAACTGTTTGGTTATGAACAGTCTTCAAAATGTTTGGAAGGAGTTAAGGGTTAGTAAATGATGATAGAATTCCTATTTTTGGGTGAACTATCCCTTTAATATGACTTACAATGTTACAGGTATACTGGGTTGAATATTGCAATCAACTTTCAGAAATGTTAACAGAATGCATCACTATGTCTTGAAATATATTTCTCAATAAAAATAGAGCAGGTGCCATGGATATTTGGGGGAAGAGAATTTCCCCTGTGAGGCCCATTTGAGTAACGGAGAAAGCCTGCTGTGAAAAATGGTTCCAACTGGTTCTTCAAGAATCCCAGAAGCCACCAGAAAAACACTTTGAATTATTTTGAGCTCAAAATGCATTTTATTTCTGAAGACCATCTCCCGTCAGAGACCTTTTGCTCCTTTAAATTGTTTTTTTATACCAAGGAAAAATATAACTGTTCCTTCTTTGCTCAGTCGATGGTTGAATAAAAAAGCTTATGGAGACAGAATGGGGAAGACTTGTTACATTTCCAAGTAAATGGTTAAGTTTTTCCCCCCCGTCATTTGGAATTTATGTTAACGTCAACAAGCTCTGAATTTATTTAATTTAATATATTTGTCTGTTTTTACTTATAACTCATAACTATAGCTTATTAAAACTCAAAAGAGTGCATTTCATTTGATTTAATCATTAGATGACATAACATCAGTTATTCGCCATTGCTTAACATTTCTTCATTCTACATGATGGGTCTTATTCCTTCTGCTATGCATTATCTTTTGAATTATGTACCGTTTTAAGAAAGAACATGTTTATTATGCCAGACTTTCAGAAATATGTTCTGGTCACACTCAGTCACTAAAACATTAAATTATAATGGAAATAAAAAGCTAACATTGCTCAGTAAGATACCTATAGCAACATGAAGGTGAATTTGTGAAGTTAATATGATCACATTCGTTTCTGCAATTTCATTTAACAGAGTGAGTGTTTTAGGCTATCAAATAGGCCAATTCTACAAAACATCACATAATTCATCAACTGCTAATGATTGATGATATTTGTATACTGCTATCTTCCAATCAAAATGATGTCAGTTCCTAGAGGATGATGTTATTAATGGCTTTTTGTTTAAGTCAGGGATAAACAAATAGAAATTAACGACAGGCTGAAAGAATAAAGTGATACCTACAATATATGTTTCTTTGAAATTTTTCGAATAGAGACAGGAAATAAACAATTAAATATGTATTTATATTTGTATATTCTTGTGAAAAATTAGTGCAGATCACTCAGGAAAATTACAAATAACATCTGCTCAAATCAAAGCAATGGCTTCCTTTAAAAAAAATCACAACTGATATTGTGATAACTAACTAATGATTAATGATTAACGTTCTTAAAAAACGGTTATTGTATACAATATATGAAAATGATAGGGACATTCTACTGCTCCTAGGAACCTGAGCGTTTTATCCGCTTTCCTCTGCGCGCAACAGCCGCTACTGTCCCGTGCGTGATCTCCATGGAAAAGTCATCAAGCTCGAGAAGTCTTCCTGTTGCTATAGTTGTACGCTAGCTGAGCATGGCAGCAGAGGTAAGCGCTATTCTCGCACAGAAACAGCTAGGCTTTTTGCAGACGAAAAGAGCTCACTATTTGATCGTGAACTATACATATATATCCAGAAAACGTAATTGCAGGATACTGGAGAGACGCGAGGGAGATTAACTGATAACCTTCAGTACACAGCAGTCGGAGCCGGTGTGATAGAGCTAGTTAGCCTGCTAATGTCCTGACTCCTGGGTGAATGTTAGCGTCTCTCAATGACATTGCGACATAAGAGCACTTCAGAGAGCTCGGATGAAGCATCAAACCCCTGCAGATAGACTGTCCAGCGTCTGCTTGAGTGCTTGAATGGGTGTCATGGGGTTTATAGGATGCTAAACATTCTTGAAGTGAGCTGAAGTTGAGCTTCACATTACAAGTGCTTGCTTGGGTTCCTTACATATAAGATGCTTTTAATAATAATATCACTTAGTAAATATAATATGATCACTATTACCACTGGAATGTCATTATAAAAAAACCTCAATCCTAAAATAATGTTAAATGAGAGCACCAGGCCTGATGTGTATATATGTGTCGATTCATTATGAATGTAGATCACAATGTGTTTGTCTCTACAGGTAATGATAAAGAGGGCTGATCCAGCAGAGCTCAAGTCCATTGTTTTGAAGGTATGTCATCGCTTATCTCCCCTGAAAGTCTGGAAATGAAGGGACGGGAGCCGTAGCCCAACATCTAAGCACTGGTGTCAATGACATATACCTCTATCTGATGTAACCCTTTAATAAATGTCTCATTACAGAAAGAATACCTGAGGATTCATTTAAAAATGCATCGAGCAGTGTATGGAACTCATAGTAAGTTCACATGAATATACGAAGCGGAGTTCCTTAAATGCACAAGAAGAACTTTGCAATGTATTTTAAGGAGCATCTTAAATTAATCTAACAGCAATGAACTAACACACGCTTAATATTCCTTTCAATAATCAACCTTTTTTTTCCCTTCTGATATCTGCCATAAAGAGTGGAAAGTACCTTCTGAATGATTGTAAAATGTTTTGTCCATGTTGCCTTTAACTATGAAGGTAATTTTTCTTTGCGTATATTGTCTTGGGCTTTTAATTCTGAGTATTTATTACTACCATTTTGATGCGATATTGAGATGTATTTTGCCGTACTAGTAGTCATGAAATACTGCATTGTACAATCACTGTATTAAGTGACTGTTTCAATGACTGCTTTAAATGTGCTTTTTTATTGTATAACATGCATCATATTTTATGTAAATCAGATTGCGGATATTTTGTGAACAAACACGTAACAAAGTATTTTATTCTCTATATCTATTCTGTACTGCAAGTGGCCTCAACATTATATATACTGTATATATATATATATATATATATATGATATTAGCCCAGTTTTTTTCCCTTCACAGTATGCTAGTGTGGAGAAGAATGGAGAGCACTTCATGTCCCCAGAGGACTTTGTGTCCAAGTTCCTTCACGCACAAACAGACATACAGCTTTCCAAGGAGGCCACTGGTTTAATGGCAGGTGTTGTGGACCAGACCAAAGATGGGTTAGTATTTATTTCTATTGCTGCTGTTAAATTTGTATGTCGCACTTGAGCCTTTAGCAGGTTATAGTTTGGAAACAAATCAAACTGTGCTACAAAAAACAAAACAAAATTGCCCCATAAATAATACTGTTGAATTTTCAGTTTTTAAATGACAATAACCAAAACACAGCTGAATTTGTGTTTTTTTCATTAATAATTCACGACTTGTGTAAATTACAGTTTATAGTTCATTTGATTCATAAACAAAGCCTTTGCTGTGAAATGGATGTGGATTATGCTGCGGTATCTTCCGCTTTTAATCCTGCATTAGGATGAAGGGTCAGACATCTTAACACGCCACACTTTGTTCAGGTGCTGCTCCATTCAGGCAGCATGGCTCAACCCCTTTTTGCATTAATATGTATGCTTTTAATGATACATAATGATGCCCAATGATACGCAAGCGTAAGTCCAAAAAGATTGTGCGTTACCACGGCAACCAGCCCGAGTGCATGTGGTCATGCGGCACACATTATTAGGGCTGCCATAGACTGGGAGAGGTACACACGCACTGTAATTGCCTGTGCCATTCAGCTCTCATGCTTTGTGCGACTTTGAGGATGGATAATTTGCTGCATCTCAGCTATTAACGGATAACTATTAGGGAATCATGGCTTGAGCTCTCTTTCTGAACATCTTTTTTTTATTTATTTGCAAGGCTTTGAGTAAAAAATAGGAGCGTTGTTTGATTTAATCAAGATTATGGAAAAAGGTTCATAGAGTATGTTGGTAAGCATTGTTTTTTTGGTTGATCTTTTTAAAATATTATTCGCACAATGCATGTAGGTTACTGAACTAGTTAAATAAAGATCTGGATATATATGGATTTCTGAGGTTTGGTCAAAGTGGCGGCTGTGGTCGGGACCTTCATGCCGTCAGGACTGTGGAACGTTGCAAATGAAGAAACGTTCATTTTGAGGCCTTCGTCCCAGAATTATGATGGAATGAAGCCCTCACAGCGGTTCATAATTTTTCAAAATAAATTTATGTACAAATAAAGCTCGTTATAATGTTGAAATGTATTCAAAATCATACAATTTCCATCTTATCCATCTCTAGTTAAATCTGTTTGTGTGGGAGCCTATGTTTTTGCTGAACACGACATGTTTTACAACCGAGGTAGGTTTTCATCTGATTGAGATGATTCACAGGTTATCTCTGTTTCATGAGATGGATACAAACAGCATGATGCATTTTCTACCTCCTCCTGAGCTGGAATAAATCAAGTGATATGGTGACATCCATCAGGCACTGAATCATTTCTCCTTTATTCACTCAGCCCTGTTTGAGCGGCATCCTGCCAACGGTTCTGAATCATTCATTCAACACATGTAGACTTCCCTGCTGATTCAAAGATCTGCCAGACATTCTCTCCTTCTCTCCCTCTATCGTTTCTCCCCTCTCCATTTCTGATGGAAAAACTCCTCAAGTGTGAAACTCCGTAGCCTCTTGGGGGTTAAAACTTTGTAAAGAGCGCATGCTGAGAAAATGGCAGTCCGTGCCCATGTGGTTTCAGGCTGGTCTGAGGTATGCACTCAGGGAAAGCTAAACCAGCCCACGTCCCTCTGCATCCACGCTTGTCAGTGACAATGACAGGACCAGAGCTTATTGAAGGTGCTCTCTCTTCACCTGTCACGGATAAAAGCTACTACGCTAAACCACTGAAATAATAAGTCTGTAAATAGTGTTTCTGCTAAGGACAGTGTTTACCAGCACCTTTCTCTTTTAGAAACAACACAATTTAAAGGTGCGTGGCACCCGCTGGGAGATATAGGGAAATGATTTGTAAAACGTATGCCTGTTGTGATTAGCATAACACACTGAAAATTGATAGCAACATAATATTACAGATCTATGAAAAATAATAGTATGTCTCTCTCCAGAGTTTTGATGATTGCAGTGTAAGATCAAGAATTGAAAACAATTTGAAATGGGTCTTTTATGCCCACAAAGTCTGCATTTATTTAATGAAAAATACAATAAAAACTAATATTGAGAAATATTATTATAATTTAAAATAACAGTTTTCTATATTAATATATTTTAAAATGAAATGTATTCCTGTGATGACAAAGCTGGATTTTCAGCAACCGTTACCCCAATCTTCAGTGTGACTTGGTGCTCAGTTATTAATTCTTCTTATTACCAGTGTTTAAAACAGTTGTGCTGCTTAATATTTTTGTGGAAAATTTGAAGCATTTTTTTCAGGATTTTCTGAAGAATAGAAAGTTGAACAGAACAGCATTTATTTTGGGGAAAAATATTTTGTAACATTCTAAATGTCTTTACTGTCACATTATAATGTGTCCTCGCTAAATAAAAATATTAATTTCTTTAAAAAAAAAAAAACTACTGACCCCAAACTGGATGGTGGTGTATTTAAAAAGGTTTGAGTTTAGAAAAACACAGTTCCGCATGAACTGCCCATATTATTAAACCATTTCAGTATCATATTTGAGAAAAGTTTTTGCATTCCCCATGTTACCATTCTGGTTCTGTGCCATTTTAGTTGATGGTTGGAAGATGTTTTGCATTGGCCTTATTACTCAAGCTTAAGTTTAGTTTGTTTTTCATGGATACGGCATCTTAGCGTGTTTGTGTATCAGCGTAATTGTTCTCTAGTAGTCAAGGAACTGCTAATCAACCATCATAAGCCTCATGTCTGGCATGGTGCTGGGGAAACTTCATGCACAACTCATTCTTGTGCATGTTGATAGGAGGCTATTTAATGCAGATACGCTTCCAAAATCAATTACAGTGACCATCAAACTGATCTGAAATGAAAGCAATACCATCTGGTGATTAGAAGTCCATCGTTTCCTTCCAATGGTTTCTGGTGTCGGAGATGCATTTTAATCACTTGCTGAGTTTTAGTAGACTTTTCTTTTAGTAAAAGCAGCAGCATCTGTATCATTTCTCATTGCTTTTTGTTTTTAATCATTGACGCCCGGGCCCAGTGGATCACCTTTATAGCTCTCCACCCACTCTGAAACAGCAGGCTCCTGTTCTCCTACTGTCAGCTTAGTTAATAAAACAATTACTCTTGACTCCACAATGTGGCTGATTTGGCATGCTGGAAGCGCGCAAATTCTCAGTTCCTTTGAATTTCATCAGTAACAAAATTAATTAGAGTGGCCACGAAAATGTAATCATTGCTCCCTGGAAATTGAAATAAATTAGAGATGCATGCATTGGGACTGCTCGTTAGCAGTGACCTCGAGTAATTGCTGTATCCATTTGTGAAATTCATAATGGAGTTGAGGCAACTTTGAACTGCGCTTAAATAAAGACTAGATTGCATGGTCCCCAGGGTTTCCTATGAATGCTGAAATTGCTTATTTGATGAGGTAGATACGTGTGTATGTGTGCGGTTGTGTGCATGTTTATGTGTTTTCTGATGTTCTGCAAATGTCATGCTCTCCATTATGATTCAAACTTTTAGTCATTTGCAGAAGTATTGCTGTTCCCCTTTATTGATATCAATTTTTAAATCTTTCTGCAGGTTTACTTGAATATTTTTTGAACAATAGCACCCGTTTATCCTTACTGTAAAGGGAGCACACATATAGGAACTAATGAAATAATCTTAAAATTGATATATTTAATAATAGTGGAAATATAAGAAGGCTTCCTAACTCTTTTTAAAATGTGCAGGAGTCGTCAAAAGTTTGGGCACACCTCATCAATAGCAAACCATTTTCTTTTACTCTGGTTCAACTCTTCATTGAAAAAGAAAACAAAATTAATATTTTAGTTTTGTATAGAAATTCTTACAGAGATACTATTTATTATATCATTTTTATATAAATATAATTTGAAAAATATTTACACTTTTTGACTATATATTTTAGTTGATATATTCTTTATTTTTAAGCATTTTTAGTATAAGCCTGTACATAAAAAGTTGTTGAAGAAGACCATAGAAATCACGGTGTCTCCTTTTGACTAGTAGTGTATGTGTATACTAGTAATTCCTGAGCATTTCCTTACTGTACTGCAGCATGACTTGTTGTAATCACATTATTTACTGAGTTCCCATCCTGGGGGCCTTATATGAACTGCTCCCATTTTCAGTAAGGTAATGACATTTGACAGTCAAATTGGAAGCACTTCAATCAAGATTGGGATCATTGAATAGCCTGTTATGTCAAATTGTTTTGTCATTCACTTAATCTCTGGGCCTAGAATCGAAGCTGGACTGTGTGTTTAGATGTTTTGTACATCATAATTTTAGGCTGATAATTACAGTTGAACAAATCACTCAAGTGTCAAGTGTTCACAATGAAAATATGTGCTACCTTTTTTTGTTTGGCGACGAGAAGCAGTAATCAGTGAGTGATACCCTCTCATCATTCAATAATGCAATGCCAGGCTGGTGGAGTGAAGTGTCCACAATATGTAGGCTGTAAGTCTGTTTGTCTCCATCAGGTTGATCTCCTTCAAGAAGTTTCTGGCTTTTGAGTCTGTGCTGTGCGCTCCGGATGCTCTCTTCGTGGTTACCTTCCAGCTCTTTGACAAAACTGGAAACGGAATTGCCACTTTTGGTGAGTGTACAACACTCTTCATAAAACAGAGTTCCAGCTCAAAATTCTGATTGGATGAGCTGTGTTTGAAGCTGTTGTAAAATGTTCATAAATGTTCACCTGTGACTGCATGCGTTCTGTATAAATGGGCCTAGTTGTTGTGTTGTTTGGCAATGTCAAACAGGCTACAGTTACGAGAATTAACTCTATTACTTGGCAGAAAAGCTGTGTAATAGTAAATGTAAATGTTTTTTGAACATTGGAGTCTTTTATTAATCTACAGTTGCCGTGATTTATAAAGGCTAAGTCACTCAAAGCCTTGTTAGGCTCTTCACTTTCTGTAAAAGCATCCTTGTTTTGTTTTTCTTTGCTTTTGCTTTCTCTTGTTTTTTATTTAGCTTTTTAATTTTTTTTATTTGCTTTGCTTTTTTCATCACAAGAATTTTTAAGAATTTCAAGCATAGAAATTCATTTTAATTTGCATTACATGAATATCCTTGTTTTGGCCTAAACTGTAGGCTAATTATATCAGCTGAATGTCTAAATCAGTGAGGTTATCAAGTATAATTCCAAAGCACCTTATGTTCAGCCACCAGCCTAAAAACAAAGGGCTAATGTTAAGTAGTCTAATCTGAATGCTTGCTTAGACCGACAGATTCCTGTCACTTAGCGAAGTACTACAGGATCAGTAAAGGTAAAACTCTTAATCAGGTTTATTCATCCACTGCCGGAGATCTTCAAAATTGTAAACAGTCCCTAGTGGACATCAGTATAATCTTCCACTTTACATTCATTGCGGTTATCTGCTTCCAGACAAGACTAAGAACAAAGGATAGTAATGCACCAATAATATGAGAAGTTGCTTTTGCAGTTATATTCATGTTGCAAAAGAACTTGGCACAGGAAGAATGCATGTGTGTATCTCATGCTTTAAATTTCCCTAATTGACTTAAATAGTCTAATTTGCCTTTTGTAGGTGAGACCTGTCAGATCAGCTCATTTCAAATGCACTACCCAAAGTGCCTAGGCGGAGAGATAGAGACTTTCATCAACCTGTTTTAATCAATAGGGAATAAGATCAGATAATACATGCACATATGCATATTTTGTATTGAAATGACTCGGTTATTTAGAGGTGATGTTTCTGTGCCATTCAAAGGTCTCTTGTTGTTCATGTCGTCAGTGGTACATCTGGGTTGAGCTGTAATGAGAACATATAGGCAGTATTTGTCTCATACACCTGTTTTTCAACTGTAGCAATCACGTCAATATAAATAGCAAATAACTTCTGACTAAGATTATGGTTATGTCAAAGCCACTTTATTGTGATGCGCTACAGAGGGTAGGAAAATGAAATGCCGCTCTGTGTTAAAGTGAACAGGAGACTCCCGTTTATAACCCTCTTAATGTCATTAAAAGCATTAAAGGTCTCTTGCTGTTATATTAAACAGTCTTTTTTCACCATTTAATAAACCCTGTCATTGCAAGTCATATTATGAAGGGATATTTTTAAGGGTTTGGAAAATTTAGGTTTTAATTAATGAATGACTAGGGCTTTTTTCATTTTTCTCCTCCCTTCAACATCAATTAGGTGAATTAGAGGTAATAAACTTGCAGGCTGCCATGCGACTCCAAAGCGATATAAAGAAAGAAGGACAGAGATGTGTTGACAGGTTCATAAACACTGATAAAATAAAGGTCTGGAGTAGCTCCACAGTGGAACTCTGTTGTAATGCAATATAAAAAGCATCTGCTAAATGACTGCTTACTGTATATAATTTGCCATAAATGGGAAAAACCTGTTGGAACTGCAGCGCTCCATGAGGAATGCTTCTCGGCAAAACCTTCAACCCCATTTTTCTTTGCTTTTATTGTCATCTTCATTGCAAAGACATATTTTGCCACTTCTGTTTAGCCTTTTATTTTCTAATTTAATGAATATGTTTTATTACAAATTATATCATCAGCATATGAGTGAACAGTTGAACTGAAAAATAAACTTAAGTCAAAATGTCTTTTTTCGATTTGATGAACGGCAGTTTTGTGTAAAACCTGTTGATCAAGTTCTCCCTCATGATTTGAGATGATCCAAGAGCAAGAACATCTGAATTTCTGTATAGAGTCAAGTTCAATGTCTTAAATTTACAAAAGTGCCAAATCGTAAATATATCTGCTTCATTTTATATAATACATTACATAATGGTTTTTATTTGTATTTTTTCAAAATGCTTAATGTGTATTATCATGTTTAAAAAAAAAAAATCAGTTTGATGCCTTGTATATCTAAACGAGGTTTACTTTTAGACCCTTGTTTTGGCGGTACTAAAATCTAACAATGCGTAGTTTTGTAACTCAATCCTCAACAATGACATTTCTGACGTCAGGCTTATCTCTAATTTCAGAGGATGTGAAACAGGTTTTCGGTCAGACCACTATACACCAGCACATCCCCTTTAACTGGAACTCGGAATTAGTTCAGCTCCACTTTGGCGCCGGGAGGAAGAAACACCTTAACTACGGGGAGTTCACTCAGTTTCTGCTGGTGGGTATGACTGCTGTCTAATTTCTCTCTGATCCACTTGCACCTCACCTTTCCCGCCACGTACGCCCAAACACGTTCACTTTCATACTGTCCTCGTCACATATGTTCCTTTACCGCCGCAGAGCTCAGATCGATGTAATGTCTTGTTTGGTATATTCTGTGCCTGGTCTCGCCTAGATTGACACACAGTTCTGGGCACCATTTCCCGCAGCACAATGAGGCATATTGACCTAGTTAGTCATTAATGAAACACTGGAGTTATATTCCTATGCCAGCATTTGTTTCTCATTAGGTGACGTAACCTCAGTGCAGTCTAGCGATTCCCCTAAAACAGGTAAAGGTTTTCTCCTGCAAGAAGAATAGCAGTATTCCTTTTGTATTTGTGGTGTGCAAGACATTTTCCTATATAGCGTCTAGACCTGAGAGTGGGCAGAGGGGGTGTGAGGGGTCGGCTGTGCCAAGTTTGCATCTACGCTCACTATATCTGAATGAGCTTTTTATATTAAACTTAACTTGGACCAGATGGGTTTTTGGGAAACTGCGAGAAACATGCCGATATTGTGTTTGTGGCCAAGACGGGATTAATTTTGTTTTTGGAACTTGAAAACTATGAAAAAACACATTTCCTGTTTAATTTTTTTTTTTCTTTTTCATTTTCTTTGAATTGGCAACTTTTTTTATGGTCGTTTGGAGTGATTTGAAAATCCGGTCAGTGTTAACTGTTCGATTTTATCCACTACAGCACTGATACAATATCACGCTGCACTGTAAAAATGAACCAGCAGCTTCACGTACGTATGAGAAAAAAAGCTGTAGACTCAGATTTACTCTCTATGAAATCCACAAATTCTCAGAATTATTTTCCTTTCCTTTATGAATGGATGCTTTCCAACACTGACTTCATGTCAATATGACCACCTGCAAATATAACATGTCGGAAATCTGGCTCTGCTGTCAGAAATGGTATTACTGTCATAGCCAAAGGTCTAAGATCCTTGCAATTTTTTTAACCTGAAAATAGATGATGAGATCTTCTCAGACATTTTTAAGCAGCTGTTTAAATGCAGTTTTAATGCCAGCGTTTGAATTGAAATAACTGACCCAAACAGAGGTGGCTCATCAAATGTTTTTATTTGAATCCAAAGACAATTAAAGGCACAATAAATGCCATGGTGGTTTCAATATTGGCTTTCGGGGGTTCAGTTCTTCTCCCTAAATAAAAAGCATGCTTTTGAAACACTCACAGTTGCAGTAATTTAAGGTTTTAAGAGACGAACTGTAAACTGTAAGGTTCAGATCCACAATTATTATGCAATTCCACATGCTTGTGGCTGGAGCAGCACAATGCAAGACAGGAAAAATCTGTAGCCAGATAATATTTTGCTCTACCTCTGCCCTTGTTTTATTTATTTACACTGCTACTGGCATTTCCTCGTTGTTTAAAACATTGTTTGTGTGTTTTCGAAAAGCACAGGACTCAGCATGTACAGTGTAAGATATAAAGCCAGCTTCTTTGTTTTTCCAGCATTTGCTTTAATGTGATTTGCAAATATTCAAATAAGTATACTGATGTGGAAAAATAGGTTAATAATAGTGAAATTACTGGCAACAATCTGTAACTGTATTATCACTGTATTTTTATTAGGACAGTGACATTTCTATAATATCAGAAATAGGTTAGCATGGAGTGTGACATTCAAAGCGTTGACATTTCCTCTAATAGTGTTTTGTGAGCAGACGTTTCTTCTATACGAAGCCACGTCCATTCGCACAGCAGACCTATATTTCTAGTGTTTTGGAGCGGTAGCTCAATTATGCGGGAAGAAAGAAAAACAACTCTGTTTAAAAGCCTGAGCTGTGTAAGAAAGTCATTCTCGTCTCCTGATGTGATACTGCAGCCGTTTCAGATGAGTTGCGCAATCAACAAAATGAGAGTTTCCTCTCCAATCGTCCAAATAAATTAATTGAAAATAACAACAAACGCATAAAATAGTTATTTAATTAAAACATCATGAGGGTATGAACTGATACTTTTATAAATTAAAATATATTTATAAATATTTTTTACTTTTAAAATAATATGCTTTAAATAATCAATTTATTTAAATTTTTGATTTTCATGATTAAGTAAAATAAATTGTATTATAATTGATGCATATAACGCTTTTTTTATGTTTTAGACTAAATATTTTCACATATTTTGATTTAGATCGATGCACAGGGTTCATTTAATCATTATATTTATATATATATATATATATATATATATATTAGTCTTTATATTTAATATTTACATATCAACTGCAGCTGCTTTTACCATTCAAATAAATGATTTGCATTTACATTTTTACATAATTAAGGCCAGCTGTACATAATGGATCACATGCATAAAATCACATGCATGTAATATATCTGTGTGGGTTTTTTTCCCCAGTACAAATCACTCCAATTCAGCATTCTGTAAACTACCAGCATGCACAGCCTGATTGACATGTATTATGTTGCAGGAGATGCAGCTAGAACATGCCAGACAGGCTTTTATGCAAAGAGACAAGGCCAAGACAAGCACCATCACCGCTCTGGACTTCAGGGACATCATGGTGACCATCAGACCCCACATGCTCACACCATTTGTGGAGGAATGCTTAGTTGCAGTGAGTTTGTTTATTTTTATTTATGTTTTAGCTATTTCAGCCAGTGGTTGTACTGTATGACAGTTTTGTGATTGATTTTTGTTTCACGTAAACCACTGGGAGATATTTATTTGCTAGGTGTATGTGTGTAAGCGGTCTGTTTTATACACACTCGGTGGGGTCTGTCATTTTCTCCACAGTTTGTGCCTCATAAACCTTGGGATTCTAGGAGATGTTTGTAAACACACAATTTCGAGGCCATTAGAAATAAATTAAAGACAATATGCTCGTCAGACCCAGTCTATACACTCAATCCTCTAATTTAGATGCCTTGCAGAACAAGACAGGAGGTGTAAACATTTTATCCCATCTACATAAAGGTTTATACTTTTTATGGGCAGGTTTATGCAGGGATTTTACAAATGACATCTTGGTTAAGGAAACTTCAGTGCAGGTCTGTTTTTTTGTGGCTTCAGGTAGACGCCACCATTTCTGCAAAGCACACAGCGCCATCTAGTGAGAGACAATCTGCTCTCGCTTTTCTTTCCAATCCCTCTTAGGCCTGAAGCACTATTTTAGCCAAACTACACTTCGTCTAGTGAAATCATTGGATATAAAAATGTTACATTTCATAAATGCTTATTACTTCAGCGTAAATGAAATTAGTCACTGGCTAGTTTTCTTTTTCTTTTCCCCATTTTCTTTTGCTGTCAGAGTGGCAAAGGGAGTTTTTACACCAAGCATTCTGTCAGATGCTATTTAAAGATTTACCTCATGTTAGTTTTCCACTTTATATGTCCCTCTTCTCATAAAACAGCTTAATTAAAAATGGCCCTCGAGCTTGAATCCCTCTGAAATTACCAGTGTGCCTCTCTGTGAAACACATGTATTTATTTAGCACTCTGTGGGGTGGAAGTGCTAAAGATGTCGCTGCACTGTAGCTTGATTAATGTTTGGCACTCCATAGAATTCTTAGCTATTTATCACCTCTGTCCCTCGTAAAAGGATGTCTTCGTTCAAATGTCTGTGTGTGCGTCTGCCAATTTTGCAGGTGGCCGGTGGCAGTACGTCACATCAGGTCAGCTTTTCCTACTTTAATGGCTTCAACTCTCTGCTAAACAACATGGAGCTCATTAGGAAGATCTACACCACCCTGGCAGGCAACCGCAAAGATGTGGAAGTTACTAAAGGTTAGTAGTGTTTTTGTTTTGACTTTGTCCTGCCTCCCCTGATTAGGCTGACTTTATGTGGCACAAAAACAAAAAAAATTACCCACAATGCATTGCTGGAGATAAGTTTGCTTTTATGTGTTTGTTGGGGCAATATAATTACTTGTATTTTATAATGTGTGTAATTTAATTCACACACACACACACACACACACACACACATATATATATATATATATATATATATATATATATATAATATTTATAGTATTTAAGTATATTTAGAAATGTTCTTATTAGTATTTAGAAATATTCTTATTTAATTTTTTTGTTTCTCATATTCTTTTTCATTTTTTAAACAGTTAAATGTCTTGCATATGTTGTTGTGCACTTTTTAAAATGCTATATTCATATAATGTGTGTAATTTAATATAAATAATGTAATTGTATATTACTCAAATTCTTTCAATTTTCAAAACCAATCCAGTTTTTGTTACTGTCAAATTCTTCTTATGTGTGTGTGTATATATATATATATATATACAGTGGGTACGGAATGTATTGCAGCCATTTGCTAAAATCATTTAAGTTAATTTTTTTTCCTCATTAATGTACACACATCACCCCATATTGACAGAAAAACACAGAATTGTTGACATTTTTGCAGATTTATTAAAAAAGAAAAACTGAAATATCACATGGTCCTAAGTAAATTAACTTAAATGATTTTAGCAAATGGCTGCAATATAACAAAGAGTGAAAAATTTAAGGGGGTCTGAATACTTTCCGTACCCACTGTATATATATATATATATGTGTGTGTGTGTGTGTGTGTGTATATATATATACTGTATATATATATATATTAGTGCTGTCAAACGATTACTCGCGATTAATCACTTAATTAGTCTCTTTTACACAAAATAAAAGTTTTTGTTTACATACTATATGTATGTGTACTGTTTATTTATTATGTATATATAAATATACACACATACAGTATATATTTTGAAAATATTTACATGTATACACATTTATATAGTTATATTATATTTTGTATTATATATAAATATATTTAATATATAAACAAAGCATATTTTTCTTAAATATATACATTCATGTGTTTGTATTTATATATACATAATAAATATACGCAGTACACACTCATATTATGTAAACAAAAACTTTTATTTTGAATGCGACTAATCGCTTGACAGCACTGATATATATATATATATAAAAATGTGTTAAATAATAGATTTAGCTTGATAATAGATATTTTGAAAAAAAAAGTTTAACATTTTACATATTTCTTACATATGTTGTCGTGAACTTTAAAAAAATAAAAAAATAAAATTGTTAATAATTAAATGTTAAATTCAAAATTGCTGATTTTTTTACTCACTCGGACTCTTCTAATTATTATTATTATTTTAATTATTTATATATATATATATATATAACAATTTTGCATAATACAAGTGTAATATTACTGTTGTAATAAGTCATGTTTAGCTCATTAGAGGATGATAAATAACTTTGAAAAACCTGTCAATATCCCATCAAGGAGGGCTTTTAAAACAAAACCCCCAAAACCTTAAAAAACCCTTGGTCTTTGTCTCCCTGGTGTGTGTGTGTGTGTGTGTGTATATATATATACTGTATATATATATATATTAGTGCTGTCAAACGATTACTCGCGATTAATCACTTAATTAGTCTCTTTTACACAAAATAAAAGTTTTTGTTTACATACTATATGTATGTGTACTGTTTATTTATTATGTATATATAAATATACACACATACAGTATACATTTTGAAAATATTTACATGTATACACATTTATATAGTTATATTATATTTTGTATTATATATAAATATATTTAATATATAAACAAAGCATATTTTTCTTAAATATATACATTCATGTGTTTGTATTTATATATACATAATAAATATACGCAGTACACACTCATATTATGTAAACAAAAACTTTTATTTTGAATGCGACTAATCGCTTGACAGCACTGATATATATATATATATAAAAATGTGTTAAATAATAGATTTAGCTTGATAATAGATATTTTGAAAAAAAAAGTTTAACATTTTACATATTTCTTACATATGTTGTCGTGAACTTTAAAAAAATAAAAAAATAAAATTGTTAATAATTAAATGTTAAATTCAAAATTGCTGATTTTTTTACTCACTCGGACTCTTCTAATTATTATTATTATTTTAATTATTTATATATATATATATATATAACAATTTTGCATAATACAAGTGTAATATTACTGTTGTAATAAGTCATGTTTAGCTCATTAGAGGATGATAAATAACTTTGAAAAACCTGTCAATATCCCATCAAGGAGGGCTTTTAAAACAAAACCCCCAAAACCTTAAAAAACCCTTGGTCTTTGTCTCCCTGGCCAACTGCTGACCTGTGAAACAGCCCTCATAGTCTGGCTGCAATGGAGCTCTGCGTCTTGGACACACACTCTTACTGTACACACCCAGCCTGCGATGCTATCAGCCCTGTGGAGACCGTGGCCAAGGGTGGGGAGGCTACATTTACCGCTGCTGTTCCCACAGAGGCTGTAGGCCGCCGTCGGGCTCCGCTGGGACCTGTGCGTGCGAATTTCCATGTCTACTTCTCTTGTTGACCCACAGCTGATTGGTTCCGTATATTTTCAGCGGTACACCGTAGCATAGTTTCGTCATTGCAACAGCCATCGTTTGCTACCTGGGGAAAACGCAGACAGAAAAAAAAGGTTGCAAATGTATAAAAACATTTAATGTGGATCGTCTTACTGCTTTTCTGGCCATTCTAAAGTAGAATTTCATCTCACTTATTTCATGGCTTCCGCGTGATTTCCGCGAGTTACTTTTCCGCTGTGATACTTCAAAGTTTTTGTAGAATCAAATATGATTTTTGGCAGGTCGAATGCTCTTGGCGGCATGTTCCTCACACTTATCAGTAGCTGGTGTTTGTTTTTGGAGGGAGCTGAAGAGACAGATGCCCTGCGTGATCTTTGATTGGAGCGTTCTTCACACTTCACAGCGTGTTTAAGGCCGGGGTAAGCTGAGCTGGCCTTGATTCAATAGGCCTCTGTGTAAGAACACTTGCTGCCTTTTTCAGGCTAGTCACTCTATACCAGTGCAGTGGGAATCCCACTGTTAACCGGCCTGTGTTCGTTCTGCTCATTACCACTCTGCACGTAACCTACACAACCAACTGATAAGATTTACTAAATATTTGAATTAATTATTTACTACATGATCCAGTAGGGATCCCTCAGTGACACTGAAATGAATTTGGCTTGTAATACTCTATGAACAAAACTTCAAATCAAGTGACTTTTATTTTAATAACAGATGGCGCAAGGCGTTGTACATATAGGGTAATTTTAAATGAAAGCATGTAACTGAATTCCTCCATGAAGAGCTCTTGTTAGTGAAGGCCACTTTGAGGAAGTAATTTTACTGTTTATAATCATGTGATTCTGAGCAACATTCATGCATTTTGAGGTAATTTGAGATCTTACCTCAACTACTTACCTTACCGTCGCATCATTTGTTTGCAGATGCCACTTGATTTAATATTTAATTTTGTTATTTAGTCATATATTTTAAAGTGTGGCTTAAAGGAATAGTTCATCCCAAAATGAAACTTTTGTCATCATTTACTCACCCTCATGTCGTTCCAAACCTGTAGGAGTTTCTTTCTTATGTTGAACATAAAAGAAGATATTTTGAAGAATAATGGTAATCAAACAATTGATTGTCCCCATTGACTTCTATAGTATTTATTTCCCTAACTATGGAAGTCAATGGGGGACCAACAACTGTTTGATTCTTCAAAATCTTTTGTGTTCAACATATAAAATAAACTTATGCAGGTTTGGATCAACATGAGGGTGAGTAAATGATGACAACATTTTCCTTTTTGGGGTGAACTATTCCTTTAAGTGGCCAAATTCGCTACAGTTGTAAAGTTTGGGATCAGTAAGATTTGTTTTGTTTGTTTGTTTGTTTATTTCATTTTTAAAGAAATTAATACTTTTATTCAACAAAATGCATTAAATTGATTAAAATTAACAGTAAATCCTTTTACATTTTTATAAAAAAATATATTTTAAATAACGCTGTTCTTTCGAACTTTCTATTCATCAAAGAATCCTGAAATAAATGTTTTGCAGTTTCCATGAAAAAATTAAGCAGTACAACTGTTTTCAAAATTGATGATAATAAGAAATGTTTTTGAGCAACAAATCAGCATATTAGAATGATTTCTAAAGGATCATGTGACACTGAGCTTTGCCATCATAGGAATAAATTACACTTTAAAATATATTAAAATGGAAAACTTATTTTAGTAAGCATAAATGTCAAAAAGTTTTTTGAAAAACTGATTTCATACTTTGGAATAGGCCACGGTGTATCTTTGTGAAACAAGCTTGTTGATTACTATAAATGAAATTTTAGCAGTAATTAAATGATTCTGTATTTTCCCTGTTTTGCAGAGGAGTTCATCATTGCTGCCCAGAGGTTTGGCCAGGTGACCCCTATGGAAGTGGACATCCTGTTCCAGCTGGCTGACCTGTCTGTGCCGAGAGGGTGAGTCACCATGGCGACAGGGCCCTGCTGAATCATCGTCTGAGAGCCTCTCCCCATCAAGACGAGGGTTCGAGACTCAGCCATAACATACTTCAGCTCTGCCTGTGTTTCACTCTCGCCATCTAAAAACAGCATTAAATTATATGTGAAAAGTTTTCTGGTATCTCTATTCTGAGTCTTGTTCTGGCAATTGCATAGTCGATGATACATGACTCTTCCTATTATTGTACAGCGGGAGGATTTGAACATGGTCCAGCTTGTTCTAACTTTCCTGCAGCATGTAGCGGTACATATGTTTCCACACTACTGTAACTGCTGCAAAGTTCTTACCAGAACAGTAATGAGCTTGGAAGTATATTTACAAAATATCTGCTCTGAGCCATAGAGCGGTGTAATCATGGTGAGTTAAACCCCTCTTTCCAAAACCAAAGATATCACATGAACATTTTTGAAGAGTCAGATGCCACGACCTATGAACTTACTCATGACACTACTGGGTTGGTCTCAAATGGAGCAAATGGTGATCAGGAGTTGGTTTTTGGACATTATTATTTCTTTGCAATGTGATACTGCAATTATCTACCTCACTTTGAGTCAAGATGTTGGAGGTTTTTACTTGTGAGGGTACACTATACCACATTTCCTCAAACATCTTTGAGATGCTGTGCTCATAAAAGGAATCTGTTTAACTGTTTATTTATGTCTGCCCATGTTTTAGTTTTTTTACAGACATGTTGGTTTAATTGACATTGAGATGATTGCACCTCTGGAGGAAGGAGCTCTTCCTTACAACCTTGCTGAGATTCAAAGACAGGTAACCCTCAGAAACTCAGAGTATAGACTTGTCTTAAAAGATTATAGTGATTGGTATAAACTGGGCCTTGGTCCATTAACTTTTGGGACACTATGACTCAGTTCTGAGGTTGTGCATTAAAACCGTTATGCTATTGTGCTACTTAATTGTAGTTGGTAAAAAGTACAGTGCCATTTTAAAATATGCACTTTTCCTTTTCCTGCATTTTTTAAGACAAACAGATAACACATGCATAATGACATTCAGACATAACAAAAATGTAATAAATCAAAGCCACTAAACACATGCAATATAAATTTATATGGTGAACATACACTACCGTTCATAATGTCAGTATGATTCTTAAAAAATGTCATAATGACAGTCTCTACCAAGACTGCTTTTATTTGATCAAAAATACACTAAAAAGTACAATTTAAACTATTTTCGTGTTTTAATATAATTGAAAATGAATGAATGAATTTATTTAAATTTGATCATTTATTCATGTGATGGAAAAGCCAAAATTTTCATTATCATTACTCCAGTAATGTCAAATGATACTTCAGAAATCATTCTAAAATGCTGATTTGCTGCTCAAGAAACATTTCTTCTTATTGTCAAAGTTCCAAACAGTTGTGCTGTTTAATATTTTTGTGGAAACTGTTACGCTTTCTTCAGGTTTTTCAGGATGAATAGAAAGTTCAAAAGAACAGCATTCATTTGAAATACAAATCTTTTGTAACATTATAAATGTCTTACTGTCACTTTTGATCAATTTAATGCACACTTGCTGAATAAAAGTATTTATTTCATCAAAAAAAAAAAAATCTTACTGACAGCAAACCTTTGAACAGTAGTGTATAAATGAATAAAGTAAATAACATAAGGAGATGCACGGAAGATAGTTACAAAGAAAATCTCTTTTAAATTAATAAATAAATAACACACAGAGATGCACAGAAGATAGTTACAAAGAAAATATTTTTTAAAAACAGAAATAAGGCATTTTCTTCATGCGTTTACAGTACTCATTTTCTGAGATACTTAGATACTTTGAGATACTTAGTAAGACATGACAGAATTTCTGATAAATGAATGTAGTGGAATTTATGGTGATTTCTGGGAATGTTTCGTGTATATAAATTATTTTGACACACTTGTATGCCCACACCCATAGTGTATTGTTCTATTTTTTCTTTGTTCCATCATTGCAGAAATGTGACTTATATATCCTTAGATAACTTGTCAAATCACATTAACAAGTTATAGTTATCTAAATGCAATACTTTTACTCATATCGATGTTATTGGTTCACTCTTTTTTTTAATGTCTCGGTTGCTAAAGTTTAATGATATATTTTGAGAACTTGTGTTTAAGTGCTTCTGATCGACGCATCATTTCCAGCCCCTCTGGATTTTTCCGTCAGCTACTGCTGAGCTCTCGTCTTCGCTTTGACCAGAGCAGTGAAAGAAGAGAATATCTGAATCTGTCATCAGCACACAGATCACACATATAAAAAGCTGTAAATGAAACGCAAGCCCAGCAGTCGAGGAAACTTATCAATGTCTGATGGTGAGATGAGAGGAAATTAAAACAGACAGAAAGACTTGAAGACTCTGCAGGGAAAAGAAAGAGAGTGTGTCTGTGCCTAGATATTCCCTCTTTATTTTATCAGAAGTTCTGCCTCCAAACACATTGAGGGCTGAGTTATTCCTTCGTGCAGGGCCATACGAAGCGGGGGCCTGGGACAGAGACGCCAGTCCCACCACAATGAGCTGCTTTGGGCTGTGGTCTGGCCTTATGGGCTGCTGGCCAGCTCTCCCCCAACACAGTTCATCCCACACCCTTAACCTCTCAGTGAGTCTGGGAGGGGGGCGCAGTTACCTTGAGGTTCCTGACAGGTGGTCTCGGGTAGGCAGAGCAACTGTATCTCCGGCGGGGAATGCGGCATGGGACGCTTGGATGGTTCTGGCTGGCCTTATTTCTTCTGCTCTCTCTAACTGTGGGGCTACAGCTGTGGCTAGAGCACTGATTGAACCCAGTTGATTGTGGTTTCTGCTTGTCTCGACTAACACTATGATAAAAGCAGCATTTCTCATTATCTAGGGATACTGGATCAAACTAAATTAAGTATTTTATTATGTTGTAAAATCCTAATGTTTCTTTTTCTCAGTAATTAAACTAACAGAAAGCAGAATGAAATTATGTCAGCGTTTAGTCAGAAGTTTCTACATACGCAGTCTTTCTTTTATTTTCCATGTTCATTTTAGAATAATAGTAAATTCATTGAAAGTAAAATAAAATAAATGTGATTATGCAAACTTAGGTTTCTCAAAGCCTTTTTTCTTTTACCTAAACAGATTGAAGTTGGATAACCAAAATAAACTGACTTGTAAAAAGCCACAAAAGGACACTCTTTGCTTTTGATAACAGCTTTTACTTTATTTATATGCTATATATTATTTATAAGCTATATTCTATTCTCTCTTAATGTTTTTTTTTTTTATGCTCTATTTTTATATATTTAAATGTTTTCAGCATAATTACTCCAGTTGTCAGTGTCACATAATCATTCTAATATGCTGATTTGGTGCTCAAGTAACATTTCTTATATCAGAGTTGCAAAAATTATATTGTATTGTATTATATTAAAATGTTCTGTCTTTCTATTCTATTCTGTTCTGCTCTATTCTAATCTATTATTAAAGTATTCTGAGAAAAAAGCCATTTGCTTTTGATAACAGCTTTGCAACTTTTTATTCATAATCTAAATACCATTTATATGATTGATAACTAGAAATTTTTGAAAAGCATAATGGTGGCAGTTCTGATTCTCTTGTCTTTGTAATTTCTTTGCTTTTGATAACAGTGTTGCAACTTTTTATTCATAATCTAAATACCATTTATATGACTGATAACTCGACATTTAAAAAAAAGCATAATGGTGTCAGTTCTGATTGTCTTGTCTTTGTATTTTCTCGCGCCGTTCTGCTTCAGGCTGCTGAGTCGGGGTACAGGTTCACCCTGGGCTCTGTGGCTGGAGGTGAGTCAGTCACAGATCATTGTGCACCACTTCTTTACCTGAGCCTGCACCAGCAGCAGCCCCTCCTCCACATGAGAGATAGCAGGACTGGACAAAAAGAAAAACAAAGCCTGCCCTATTGCCTTCTTAGGGGGCCATTTCTCCAGTTTAATGAGGTTATGCACCATGGGAACCTAGATTCTTTTGTACCTGTCAGTGATCAGAGGTGTGTGTGTGCGTTGGACTGTGTGTACGTAAGGAGGTGGTGCTTGGCCCTGTGTTTGGCTCCAGTCTGGCTCTCTCAGAGGAGACAAGGTAATAAGGAGGTAGTGCAGGGCGACTCACTCTTTAATTAAGCCTGTCGGTGCTGTATCCCCTTTGTGTCCACCCCAAAGTTGTCAGATAAGAATTGACTGATGTTTTCTTCCAAAATATCCTGACTTTCTTTCCGTTCATTTTTTGTTGTTGTTTGATGTGTCCTTCATCAATGTGTCCCCCCATGTGTCCTTCATCAGCCTGCACATCTCTTTTAAAAGAATAGTTCACCCAAAAATGAAAATTTGCTGAAAATGTACTCTCTCTCATGGTATCCAAGATGAGATGAGTTTGTTTCTTCATCGGAAGAGATTTGGAGAAATTAAGCATTACGTCACTTGCTCACTAGTGGATCCTCTGCAGTGAATGGGTGCCATCAGAATGAGATGGTACAGAACATCACAGTAATCCACAAGTAATTAATCAATGTCTTGTAAATGAAAAGTGTTTTTAAGAAACAAATCAATCATTAAAACATTTTAACTTTAAACCATTGCTTCTGGCCAAAATACCAATCTGTAATTCATAATAAAACTTCCTCTAGTTTCCTGTTGTCCTCTCACATCAAAATCCACCGACATATTTGTTTAGAACTGTTTTAGACTGTTTTCTAATGCAAGCGGAGCTTGATCTGTGCATATTAATCTCCTGATTCAGATGAGATGACTTCACTTGAGAAAGCAATATTATTGAATTTTAGCCGGAAGCTAAAAGATGAATCTTAATGATGAATTTGTTTATTACAAACACACAGATTTTCACTTCACAAGATGTTAATTGATGGACTGAAGTCATGTGGATTACTTGTGGTTTATTGTGATGTTTTTATCAGCAGTTTAGACTCTCATTCTGACGGCACCCATTCATTGCATAGGATCCATTGGTAAGTGATGTAATGCAAAATTTCTCCAAATCTGTTCTGATGATGAAACAAACTCATCTACATCTCGGGTGGCCTGAGAGTGAATACATTTCTTAGCATATCGTACATAGTAACAAATTTCCTCTCAGGACAGCCGTGGGTGCCACTGCCGTGTACCCCATCGACCTGGTAAAGACCTGCATGCAGAACCAGCATACTTCAGGTTCCTTTATGGACGAGCTGATGTACAAGAACAGCTTTGACTGTTTCAAGAAGGTCGTACGCTACGAGGGCTTCTTCGGCCTCTACAGAGGTCAGTGGCTTCGTGCAGCCAGGCCATCGGTGACGCACCAACAAAAAGCGTTTTCATGAAAGCCAGGGGCAGGTCATCTTCCCTCTGACCTTACCTGCTTTGAAGAGATTAAGTCTACCTTTGCTGCTTGAGGGGACAATGTGCAGAGCATGAAAGGGCACATACCAGCACAGGAACTTAACAATGAAGAACATGAATGCTCTACGCAGTCAATGGCGCTCAGATAATGAGTATCTGCTCTGCTTTTAGTGCTGGAACATGAGTTTTTAAAGCATTCTGTGAGGTCACAGATTCAAATTGTGATTGCAAGGTGCAATTGCCATGTGACCTCCATTGAAAACACTAACTACTGGTATTTGTCAATCATAAAGCTGACAAAAGAGAGGCTGAGATCTTCATCACCCGTACAGAATTATAACAGGGGGATGGTATGAAAAATCAGTTCTCGTTTTAGGCGAGCATATCAGTGCTTTATGACAGTGAGCACTAAGTGCTTTTGTTTTACATATAAATAGTTTAGTTTTTAAACAAGGAAGTGGGCAGTCCAGGCTTTTAGAAAATGCATAAAAATACTTTAAAGACCAACACAAAGTTTAGTGTACATTTAGTACACAATTGCCATTCCCATTCTATCTTGATGTGAAATGGCAGATTATTGAGCCACATGATTTTGAATGCAAAAAAAGAGTTATGTTTGATAATTAGGTTAAACTATAATTGTAGGTAAAAATAATTTTTTAAAATGTATTTTATATTTCATTATATTTTATTTTTATTCTAAACTATCTTTAGCATATTTTTTCAGCTTTACTTATCAGATCCCTTAATGCAGGGCATATTTACTATTATTCAAGACAAAGTCACACTGATTGTTTATTGACGAAGTAGATGCATAGAAATTGGTAAAGACAACAGCCGATGATGTCACTATCCTGGCAAACACAAAACAATCAGCAGCATGCAAGAACAATAATTGTTTACGGGAATTGCAACGGATGATTAAGTTTGAAAAATATTTTTTTCTAATTCATCTGCTTGTATATAAACACGAATGCACTCTGTAGGCAATGCATGCAGGAAATGTTTGTATTCATCTAGCTGTGTGGCCTATTTACACTCGTATACTATGCCCACATTACTGCGCTTGTTTGTTACTGCCGGGGGTGGGTCATCAATTTTAAATCAGATTATTTAGTTTATTTTTGTCTAAGCCAAAAATCTGCGTTGTAATTGAGGGCTGTGTAAACTTTGGTTAAGGCTGTTTTTAAAGGGAAAAGGAGTTTGTAGTACTGTTAAGTTTCCAATATTTAAACACTCCACATCAATAGTGTTCATTAGTGTGTGGATGATATGGAATTGGAGGCAGCACTGCAGCTTTTATATTGAGGAAAGTCGTGCTTCCCTTATCCCTGTCTTTTTTAATCAACTTGTTTTCTAATTATAGGCCTCGTACCGCAGCTTCTGGGAGTGGCTCCCGAGAAAGCCATAAAGCTTACAGTAAGTGCTCTGCCTTCACCACATCAGCGTGGCCTCTTAAAACCAAAGCCCTTAACTCCTCAGAAATTCACCCCTCTGTTTCTCCCACCTGCTTGCTGCCTGACTTCAGTGCCTCGCCTTAGCCCCTTGAAAAAGAAGTGAATCTGTTTTGTGTTGGATCCCCTGTCAAAGCAGTTTGCATTATTGACTTGGGCATCAGCAGGCTCACTTATACTTTATTTCCCACAATTGTGGCTTTTAATCTCACAATCAGGCCTTTGTATCTAACAGTGGCCTCTTTGTGTCATATTTGCAGCTTTATATCACAAATGTGATTTTTTTTTTCTCTTGGAATTATGACTTTATATTTTACACTTGTGAATTTATATCTCATAATTGTGGCTTTTTATCCAAAATTGTAACTATATCTCAAAATGTTGACTTTTTATATCTCACTTTATAACTCAAAATTGCAACTTAATATATATCTATATTTATCAAGACTTTATATCTCAAAATTGCAACTTTATTTTTCACAATTGTGGCTTTATCACACAGTTGCCACTATATCTCCAAATTGCAACTTAATATATATCTATATATATATATCAGATTTTATATCTCAAAATTCTGACCTGATATCTCGCAGTTGTGATACAATTGCCACTTTATATTCCAAAATTTCAACTTTAGATCTAAAAATGGCAACTACAGTATATAGCTCAAAATCCTGACTTGATATCTCACCAGTTGACTTTGTATCTCAAAATTGCAACGTCATATAAAAATTGCTACATAATTTTTCACAGTTGTGATTTTCGCACAGTTGGCACTTTATATTTTAAAATTGCAACTTTATAAATCAAAATTGTGCTGTGATTTTATATATTACAATTGCGATTTCAGTATATCACAATAATGACAATTTCTTGTAATTGTGACTGTCTCACAGTTGTTTTTTATTTTTATTCTGAGGCTCAAATAGGCTACCATAGGAAAACCTTAGGAATGCACAAAAAACCATGTCTTATTCGCTGACAACCTGCAATCCAGTTTAAATGGGCACTACTGTATAGTGCAGACTGCTATAGATGTGCCCATTTAAATGAAGTTACTTTTGCACATTTTCTTGCGAATTGTGTGCTAAAACAATCCCCATACAACATGCAAGAGGCATTTGAATTCTGAAAAAATTAGCAGAACTTTTTGCAGATTTCTGTAGGTGTTAAATCTGCTAAATCTAAAAAAAAAATCTGCCATGAAGTTCTCTTCCTCCAAGAAACTGTACATATCTGTCTGATGCTACATTGTTTTTTTTTCCACAGGTGAATGACTTTGTGAGAGGAAAGACTATGCAAAAAGACGGCAGCGTTCCTATACCTGCTGAAATCTTGGCTGGCGGATGTGTGAGTAGCTTTATTCTTTGATACGCAAACATATAATCCATACATAGCGCAGTAACAGTACACTGACAATAAGGAGTTTAGTTTTGAATGTCAGTGGGCTTTGAGGTCTAAGCCTTGGCCTGAGGGAACACTTCTCTCCTTTTGTGAGGTGATTGAAAAGACACTTCAGCCCCATCAGTGTTTGAAAACATGTATAAAACACTTCTCCTCTGTCATCTCACCTCTAAATCATAGTCTGCTGCTGCCCCTCACAAGCATTAACAGGGAATCACTTACCCTTTTCATTAGGAGCATAAAGGTGAAACTGACATTATTAATACATCGTTTACATATGCTTCAGTTCATTCTTGTCTGAACTGTGTGAAAGCGAATACCTTCAGTTTGGATTTCAGAAAGCAGTAGCCTTCCTGTTTGTGTCGTACCTGAGACCTGTCAAAACCAGACCCTGCTTCTTCAAGTCTGCCCTGAAAGACCCTCTTTCATATGACAGTGATCCCTGCACATGTGTGTTTCCATTTAAAAGTGTCACAGACTCTTAGATGATTGCGAGTGTCGATTATACCGACATGAGTGCATTTAGCCCACATGATCTCAGCTCTGAGATTTGAAAAGAGATGGCTACGGAAACATCAGGTTGGTTGCAGATGAAGTCAGCTCAGAAAGGGAGCTTGTGCCACAGAGATGTGTTTTTCCTCCTCTGATTTCTCTGACAGCTCCTTTCATCCCGGCCCGAATCCCCGATGTTTGGCCTGGCAGGATCCGCTCTCTTTCTCACGCCTGTACACGCGCCGCTCGCTCAAAGCCGCGTTTATTGACACTGCAGCCACGGCAAATCAAATCTATTTATTTGGTTTGTGAGGGAAAAGACTAGACTGCTGATTTGCACAACGTGAATGTTCCTGTCTGAGGGAGGAGAGTAAAAATCATAGAAAACGAGAGGGGGAAAAGCAAGAGATGGTGAGGGTTATGGAACTGCGGTGATTAAAATTTCACGGTTTTTTTTACGTTTCAAGCGCGTCTCTTCTCACATTGCAGCCTCTGAATTAGGCCCTTGACAGTTGCCAAGAGTTGATCATTTGGTAAGAACAGCACGCTTCGCTGGCCGAGGAGTTGGCCGGATTCTTATCTGGTTGTTGCTGGCCTTCATTTGAGGGCTGTGTTACTCAAAATACTCGCTTAGCCAACGTAAAGTGCTGTAGAGAGCGGGGAAAAACCGTGGCTTGCATACAGTGGTGCTTTGTTCATTTGCGGTGTGAGTCGTAAAGCTGTGTAATTTAGCTTGTCCGTTGTTTCTCAGCATTCGTAAAGGTTTGTTAGTCGTCTGTTGCAAAACTTTTTTTTATCGCAGTCGTCTCATTTCTACACAAAAACGCTTGTTTAATCCCATTTAACTGCGAGGAATGTGAACGAGTATTAATGAAGGGAGTCTAATGTTTGTGTCTGGCGGTGAGCTATTGTTTTTAGAAGACTGTAGCATTTTGTGTGTGTGATGCTTACGTGCTCGGCCTTCAGTTGCGCTCATCTCGCAGTAGAGTGTATTAGGTATCTTCCCCCCCTCAAGCACGCACACACGCTCTCAGTGCCTCTGGGGTTTACCTTGCCTTGTAATTACCACCGAATTATCAAGCCGACGCTGGCTCACTCTGCACTCAAATCGCATTTCTTGCAGTCACGTTGCAGCGCGTGCTTCCCGCTCTTTAAACTGCCTCTCCGCCAGAGGTGATTGATCTGTTGTCTCCCTATAACCGATGTTCTTGTTTGCTTTTTGCTTGTTCTCTATGTGTAACTTTTTAAATATCCGATTAGTACCCAATTAATGCGGCTAATAGCCTGGCCCTCTCCTTAGTGCATTGTTCCTTGCCAAAACAAGGGGGAAAAAAAGATTGTTTTCGGCCCTGATGCCATAATTAACTATAAAAGATTACTTTCCACATAAATAAGTGGCATTTTCCATGAATAGAGTACGAAATAGGATGTGAAACTCGTAACTACTTTTTTTTATTTTTTGTAATTGTTCAGTGAAAGGAAGTGCTTAACCTTCAGAAAATGTTGATTTGTGACTTGTGGAATTTGGCAATTTTTCTAGCAATAAACATTAATTAAACAAAAATGAAATAGACAACTTTTGCTTTTGAGAACTGTTTCCCACAATTAATAAAAAAAATAGAAAAAATCTTTTTTTTGGAATTTTCTCCTACATAATTTGAGTAACATTTTAGGAGTGAGCTTTATGCAATCAACACTACAATTTGTGTAAAAATAATATGAGATGTGATTATTTATCAATATAATCTTCTCATTATGCTGTAGAAAAGATCCAAATAATGTTACCATTTGGGTGTCACAAATTAAAGGAATATTACATAAATTTGTTAATTGGTGAATTTTTTTCTGTCACAGGGTTGTGTGCAAGTCAGCTAAACATGAAGTTTTTAGTATATGAAATTCAAACCTTTTTTTCACTGTGATGAAAATGAAAGATTTTAATTATTAGATTAAATACAGGAGGTTTATTTTATAGATCATTATAGATAATAGTTTATCTAACATTTCTAAACCCATGGGTTTGTGCCTCTAATACTTAAAAAAAAAAAAAATTAAATTGGACACCAAAATTAACCATATTCATGAAATGTGCCAACTATTAAGTCGGAGCTGTGAGTTCTGAAAGGTAGGAACCCCTTTTTGCATGTCTGAGCTGTACTTTCCTCTGGAAGGAAAGTGCGGGTCATTGTGGTCCATCCTATTTAAAGTGCACCTTCAATGAGATGATAATGATCTTTATTTTTAAATATGCTACCTCGTACTCAATGGGATTTTTAAATGTGCACACTTGTGAGATTCGAGACCATTCGAGACCGAATTTACCAGATTCCTGTAAGACGCCCCATACGTTAATATCTCTGAAAGAATAGATGAATAAAATCAACAACAAACAAACAGTAAGGCCCTTCTGTATTCAAAAGAAGGGCTGAGGGAAGGAGAAGAAATCCATGGAAACTGATTTCCATCTAATTACACTGCTCTGTTTTTCTGCGTGCAGCCTCAGTAACTAGGAGCAACAGGAAAGATAGGGCACGGAGGCGGCAAGCAGCCAGCCTCTTTGGCGAGACATGTTTAAATGCTTCTGTTGCAGCCTCAGATGCCATCACGTCAAAGCCGAACCGTTTCAAAGAGCTCGGAGGAACCTGTTCCAACCTGCAGATGCTTTTTATCTGCCTCACAAGTACAAGGTTGGAGACATGAGGTTGTTTTTTTGAGAGGCCCCCAGGGGCCTGCGTTCTGTGTGATGTTTCAGGCACCGTCTGTCTTTGGCAGGTATAACCTCCTCCTCCTACAAAGAGTGACAATAGCACAATCATAGGTCTTGGTTTAAAGCATTGTCCTCTTAGTACATGAATATCATGTTACTTCCCTCTTGTCATTTTTGTTTTTTCACTTTGAGTTCATCAGAACGTATTTACAACTGTAACAAACTTATCACAGGTGATCTGTACTTATGTTCAGCAAACATTTTCTTTAACATTAACCCGTCTCACTCACAAACATGATTGTTCATGAAGCTCTGTGAAAACCTGTATGCTTGTGTTGTTGATCTTCAGGCTGGGGGATCTCAGGTGATCTTCACAAACCCTCTGGAGATTGTGAAGATCCGACTGCAGGTGGCAGGAGAAATCACAACAGGGCCACGTGTCAGCACTCTCTCTGTCATCCGTGACTTGGGTTTCTTTGGTCTGTACAAGGTATGTCACATTCACACAAAACAGCCTGAAACCTAATTCACATAATTAGGTGCTTAAAGTACAGTATGTACTTCAATGGTGTATACTTTTGCCTATGTAATAAAAACAATATAAGAGTATTGGGAAATATTACCCCATATAAAACTGTTGCAGGAGTGTTTTCATGCAAATTGTCAGCATATGGCGAAATTCAGTATTCATTGCATTTATTAGCTATTTATATTTATTTTAAGAATTTTAAGAAAATCTGAAAGTTCAAATGAAATGAATACTTTTAATCAGCAAGGATGCATCAAATTGATCTAAAGTGACAATGAATACATATGTAATGTTATTCAATATATAACGCTATTTCAAATAAATGCTGTTCTTTTAAACTTTCTATTCAATCCTGAAATAAATGTGACATATTTTCCACAAAAAGATTAAGCAGCACAAGTGTTTTTAACATTGATAATAATAAGAAATGTTTCTTGAGCACCAAATTATCATATTTGAATGATTTCTAGAGGATCATTTGACACTAAAGACTGGATGGCAGTCAAAAATTCAGCTCGTTTTAAAATATATTGAAATAGAAAACAACTTTTTAAAATAAATTACACAATATTACTATTTTTACTGTATTTTTGATCAAATAAAGGTAGCCTCGGTGAGCATAAGAATTTTTTTTCAAAAACATTTAAAAATTATATTTATATTGATGTTTATGTTTATTTTCATGTTTTTCTCTATAAATATTAAGTAAGGGGTCATGAGCAATAAATGCCAAAAAACGTGCATGCTTAATCTTAATGTCTATGTGCATACTACCTATCCTAAAATTATGCAGAACTAAGCCTTTTTATTACATTTATTATAGTGTTTGTATTTGTGTATATAAGTGTTTATATAATTAACATCTCCTCCAGTATCCCTTCAAAATAGTCTGACCCACCTTGTACACACTAAAAACCTAGAAGACCATCCTCAGCTCTCTAGCGCCTCCCACCTGTGAACTGACTCCCTGCACTCCCTCTTATATCCCTGAGTTCCTCAGTCATGCTCCACATTCTCCAGCAAGTCTCATACATACCCACCCACACACACTATCAGGCCTCAATGCACCCCCTGCGGTCTGCTGTAGCAGTCGGACCAGGTAGCACCAGCCTCTCAGAACCGTGAATACCCAGCGGCTCCCTGAGTGCTGCTTTTGTGTCCTGTTTTCCCCATGAGGCTCAGCAGCGCTGCAGGAGAAGATCTCCAGTTATTTTGCTGCTGTCGAATGCATCTGAGCAGGGATGCAGGACTGCATTCCTGAGGCTTGGAGAGCAGGAGGTTGCGGAGAGCGAGTGTTTTGGTGTAAACAACGTTGTGGGGACTGCCATGATGGCGCTGGGTCGTATCTCATCCAGTGGCTGTGTTCTCTGACATTTTATGGACAGCTGGAGAGAGATGAATGAGGCATGTTCACCTCTGCGTAGGTGTTATGCGCAGTGCTAATTACATGTAGACACTTGATGTTGGTTTATGCTGTAGTAATAACTGAATGTTCACTACTTAGAGACAGTAGAGAGGACAGGAAATAATGGGAAAGAGAGGAGAACCTAAAGTCTGAATGCTTTAAAAAATTAAAAAATAAAAGTGTGTGTGTATATGACACAAGTTGGACTCAAACCCACTTCATGGCTCAATATGGCAAAGCATGTAAATATATATATATATTCAAAAGTTTGGGGTCAGTAACATTTTTTTTTTTGGCTAATTGTCATCAAGACTGCATTTGAAACTGTGATATCATGAAATATTATTACAATTTACAATTGAATTGTCAACAACCATTACTCCAGTCTTCAGTGACACGTGATCCTTCAGAAACCATTCAAATATTCTAATTTGGTGCTTTTTTATTATTATTATTATCAATATTGGAATAAGTTTTTCTCCTTAATATTTTTGTGGAAGATGACTTTTTTTTCACGATTCTTGAATGAACAGAAAGTTCAAAGGAACAGAATTTATTTGAAATAAAAATCTCTGTAAAATGTCTTGACTGTCATTTCTGATCAATTTAATGCATCCTTGCTGGAAAAAAAAAGTATAGATTTCTTTAAAAAAACAAAAACAAATACTGACCCCAAACCTCCTTTGAACAATAGTGTGTGTGTGTGTGTGTGTGTGTGTATGTGTGTATATATATATATATATTAGTGCCGTCAAACGATTAATCTGATACAAAATAAAAGTTTTTGTTTGCATAATATATGTGTGTGTATATTTATTATGTATATATAAATACACACATACTGTATATATATTTAAAATATTTACATGTATTTACATGTCTATATATTCATATAATTTATATTATAAATATATTTAATATATAAACAACATATTTTTCTGAAAAATATACATGCATGTGTGTGTATTTATACATACATAATAAATATACACAGAATACACATGTAAACAAAAACCTTAATTTTGGAATTATATT